CCTATTCTAGAATGCCAGTGATTGTTGCAAGGAAATTGATAATCAAAACTTGTTCACATGTACATATTACAAATAAAAAAATCATTTGTATTAAAACGTTACTTACAGAAACATTTACAATACTACAAAGGAAGTAAAAATGTCAACAACATTAATTATTCAATGGTACAGTTCAAAACTGATAAGATTTTATCTTTTCTCACAGTCAAGCGAGCTTAAACTCAACAGTATAAAATATGTGTATTTTCAGAATTCTGGAAGCCAATGAGTAAGGTACGTGGCTGAATGGGGCATGATTCTGGGAGTATTTTTTACTGGACTTATTTATTGTATCCAAGCTGTCATTAGGATGTTTCAATCTTACCACTATGGCCACCTGCATGCTATGGTCATACTATTTCAACATTATATTAGTACTCTTTTCGACTCATATCCTTGAAATGTTCTTGCACTTTACACAACAGATAATGTGTTGGCATCATCTATTCTTTACATCATCTTGAAAATTTCACCTTCTTCACATTGTCCAGATTTGACTGACACCGATTTGTCTTGGCTCTCTACCTCATTTAAGAGGAAGATGTAAGATACATTGATAAGTTAACTGCTTCTTATTCAGAAGTCCGTATCTTTGTTCAATTCACAGCATGTAAATTTTTGTGCAACTGTGATCACATCCACAACTGCTACACTTGTAGCACTTTGGACATCACAAAACCTTGTCGAAATGTTGTACATTTGCTATTATGTTAAACTTATTTAAAGTTTTTCTTCATTACTCATTCAAGCCATCTCCAAGCATTATTATACTAAAAGAAAATTAAACTATGTAGTTAAATATATATATAACCAAATCATAGAGTTAAATGGTGGGCATTTTGTTTTTCAATTTTGAGGGTGAAGAAACCATTTGCTAGGTGGGCACATAATATTTTTGAATTCAGCACCCTCAAATTGACCAAAATCAATTGTTTGCCACAATTACCACAAAAAGCTTGATTCATTTTTTCTAGCAGCTTTTTGGTAAAGTGAACCAGACTATATCATCATTTGATGAAATTTTATGTATTAAGTTTTTCATTTTGTTTTTTGGAATCAGTTTTGATTAAGAGTTAAATATATAGCAAAGTAACTGAAAATTTTTCAAATAATAACTTGACTATGTAGCCTAAAAACTGAGTAGTTAACCCTGAGTCTGGTATAGTTTGGGAAAGTGAAATATATTGTACAAGTGGCCACTAAACCAATTATTCAAGTCAATACATAGACTGTTAAATGGATCAGTGTAACAGTATACATATTTTAATTTTAATACTACTTTATTATAAATCACTTAGTGGCAATTATGCAATAAAAATAGAATATATATATATATATATATATAGTTGTGAGTACTGATACCAAGTGTTCAAAAAGTATCATTTTTAAAAGGATATAGTTTTTCCAAAAGAGTCACAGTCTTTGGGAAAGCACACAATGTTAGTTCTACACCATAGTGCTTACACAAACCATTATCATAAACATGCATGACAGTGCTCATAATCCTAAGGTACATTTAAATAAGTTTTGACAAATAACTGCTATATGACTAGTATGTTTGGGACAACTTTTCAAGTTATGATCTCTTATATGTTAGCTGTGCTTATTAAAAAAAAAACAACTTTAATGTTTGCTTTTTAGTACATCTAACATCATGCCAGCATTTACAATTTCTACACCATGAGCTATAACTTAGTCATCACACATTTTTATGATACCACTCACTCCATCAGCAGCTCCCTTTCCATGTTCAGCCTCTCTATAAATCTATGCAGCTTCTTTTACTTCAATAACTGAACAGAAACAAATTAGTAAAAAAACATTTAGTTACAGTACTGCGTGGCCAAACTATCAGTCTGAAAGTGGATGGTGTCTCTTCATGAAATTTAACTGTTTTCAGTATTGGGTTCAAATGAGATAATATTGCACAAGGATCATACTGATGATTTTCTGATATTGTGAAATATGATATGCATGCTATATTATCATTGACTTCTGAGGCATCTTTATCACTATTTATTTTTATCATCATTTGAATGTACTATGTAAGTTGCTTCTTGGAAGCCCCAGAGTAAATACTTTGGATTTCTAATGAATATTTACAAATCAAATTTTCTGAGAAGTCTACAATAGCAACCACTTCATTCTTGTGTTTTTCAATTCTCTAAGAGCTTTAAGCTGATATCTCACTTTCTTTAGGGCCTTAGGGTTTGCTTTTATTTTTTCAAATTGTGGCCTCTTCTTTTCTCTTTAAGTAAATTATTTTGTATTGTAAGGCATTTTCACTTAGTTTCTATTTTCTAATGATTTTATTTACAGAAAAACTTCCACTAATGTTAATTTTTTTCTTTTCCAATGGACACCACTACTAGTAATTGATATCTTCATCTTGAATGTGATCATTTCATTATCTTTCTGTTTTGAATGTAATTTATCTGTGACATCTTTTGGCTTACAATTCTCATAAGTTTAATCTTAGTTTTCTTTGACTATGGCTCATTGTTGATGGGATTAAATACAGTTACTTTTAATTTTTTCTGTGCCTGTCTTTTTTCTCTCTTTTGTAATTGTGCTTTCTTCATTTCTCATAATTTCTTTGCACATGCTTCTTCTTTAGCTTTACTAGTTTTTATTTATTTTTTCAATGTAGCATGTCTGTCTTTCAATTCAAGCCCTAAAGACAGTGAAGTGCCAGGTTTATCGGATCAAGTACACCATTTTAAGGGGTTGAAAGTTGAAATGTGCAAGCACGTTTTTTCCCCCATTATTTCATTGTTCTAAAAATGATATGAAAAATACTAACACTTTCATTGTTTCAATGACAATGGTGTAACAAAATACAATTACGAATTATATTATATATAATGCTCTAGTACTACTAACAATATAAGTAAGGTTGTTATTATATAATGTTAAATATATCACTTTAACAGCCCTACACGTACCCTATTCGCTATTTCATTTTCACTTTCACTCAATTTCAGTATTTGTGTGACGGCCCATTGCAAAAGTAATTCCCTATAATATTCCAAGAAATACTAAAACAAATTCAATAAAACACAAATACAAACTTACGCAACGCAGTTCGCTATGTTTTCGCGAAGGAACAAGAGAATGAAACACTTGAAGCTTAATAATAATATTATACCATCTGATACTCAATCTTCACATTACGGACATCTTGAAATCCTACTAATACATACTAAAACCATTTGACCCTAACAACAAACTTAGGTTGAGTTGAGTCGAGTACGAACAGTGCTCACGCGGACCCGAAGAACGCCAAAATCCGCTATGCACTTTGAGTAGGATAGATTATTACCAGATCTGTATATACGGTTCTTTGCCATTTATATTGTTACGTCTCTGGTCGTTAGTTAATTTTCCGTAAGAATTCTTTCCGAAGAAACTTTAGCGATACAAGCCCTATCTTAAATAAAACTGGTTTATTCTTTCTGAAGAAACTTTAGCGATACACTTAATTTCCACAGTCACGCTATAACAACGCTATAATTCACAACGAACGACTCACGTGCTCGACTCAATTGTCAGTCTCTATCTCTGTCTGCAGTTTAATTACATTGTTGCCGTCACTTCTTGGCGGTCTTATATACAAGAATACCGAAAATCTAGTAAACGCTCGAGGCTTCACAAAGGGACATGATCTTTCTAGAAGTTCATGACGTGACCTCCGCTGTCGTAACACTGCCCCTTCTTTAGTATTGTTCGTCCCGAACAATAGCCACTTACATTAAACCAATAAATAATTAACAATAACTTAATCAAATGTACAGAATTTACAAACACAAAATCAAAACTCAACAAAGTCTTTTAATTTTACGGGACGTATCTTCTTCTGTACTGGTCTCCGTCTGTCTCGTTGGCTTCTGCTTCATCAGGAACGTCCTATCATTGGTAACAGTCACATCAGTGGTAGTAACTTCATCAAGAGCTTCACTGTTTCCCTTCTCAAAACCGAGTAGAGTTTCTTCTTCGACAGTGGCTTTTTCAGGTGACACATTTTCAGCAGCATCATTTGTTCCGTTGTTCACTTCATCCCAACTGAAATGTCCTGGACTGTGATAACGCCAAGTTCAATTAAGAATACCCCATTTGCCTCAAATGGGATAAGAAATTCCCTATTTAAAGAAAAAACCAGAACACAAGTTCTCAGATTTAGTTATAGGAAGCCTTGTATTACGTTGATCGACACTGGTTCTACAACTACAATAATTTGGACTGATTTGGTAATGAAACGTAATAAGTTGGTTTCAGATATGAAGAAAAATGGAGAGTGAAACAAATGACGAATGAACAAAATGTTCTATGAATAGGAAAATTAGAAGTTATCCTTACTGTAGAAGACATCTGTGTGTTTTGTGATGTGTGGGAAATTGACATCGAAGAAGAGTGCATATTGGTAACTGACTTCATCCAGAGACATGGATGTGAGAGTAGGCTAGCTTCAAATAGTTTCATGGTCTATGACAAGGAAATCCCTGTGTACTAAATGGCAATTACTACCAGCAATCGGATTTCCCGTAACAACAAGGAGAACAATCATTGTACCAACAAGAAGTATTCAGAACATAAGTAGTCACCTTTGAAGAAAGATGAAGGAAGTATGATGTCAAATCCTTACAAAATTACAGTGTACCACTTCACAAGAGTTGTATGACTTGATCTATGGAGGTCTTACAACTGATTAGTGCTGGCAGATACAAAACTTGTTATCAAATTAGAACTTTCTAAGGTTTTAGGTCTATCTTAACATCATGTGCTCTTAGCTAACATACTGTTACGTCTCCATTTGTAAATTGATTTTCCGTAAATTCGTTCCAACGAAACTTTAGCGACACAAGTTCTTTCTTAAATAAAACTGGTTTATTCTTTCCGAATACAACTTTACGATACACTCAACTTCAACAGTCGCGCTATAACAAACTATAATTCACGTCTCACGAGCTCGACTTCAACAATACGTCTCTCTCTGACTGCAGTTCAATCACTCATTACCTACACAAATTGTCCCGTCACGTTGTGATCATTCTATATATACCAGACTACCCCAATCTAGTAAATGCTAGGGCATTCACGAAGGAACAGGATATTTCTAGAAAGCAGGTGGCGTGACACTAGTCACGTGACCTCGCTGACGCAACACTGCCCCTTCCTTAGTATTGTTCGTCCCGAACAATAGCCACTTACATTAAACCATTAACAATTAACAATAACTTAATTAAAAATGTACAGAATTACAAACACAAAATTACAATTCAACAAAGTCTCTTAATTTTACGGGACGTATCTTTTTCCATACTGGTCTCTGTCTCGTTGGCTTCTGCTTCATATGGGGT